GGTTCAAATTATTCCAGAATCTTCTGGGATTTTGAAAGTCCTGTGAAAAGCTATCTCTATAATAACTAGATTTTGCATTCCTTGTCTTGGTCTTACATAAGTTCCTGAGATATCTATAAGCTTCCAAATCTGTGGCATTTGAAGAAGAGCGAAATTTAGCCCAGGCTATATCCCTTTGTTTTAAAAGACTAATCAGATGTGAGCTGATCCATGGCAAATGTCTATCTTCGATTCTAATTGTTCTAAAGGGAGCATGTTCGTCAATTATTTTAGTGACCTCAGAATAGAAAAAATGTCATGCATCTTCAACGTATGGAATTAACTGAAACCTATCCCAGTTGATACAAAGTATGTTGTGTATAAAATGATCAACATTAATATTTGTCTTAATGTAATATATTTGGGGGGAGATTTAGGGATTTTAATTTTCCAGACACAAAATATGATGGAATGGTCACTAAAACAGTCATAACACCTGAAGTAATTATACTATCAGGATTAGTGACAAGTATTCAATCCAGCAGGGAAGAAGACAGACAATCAACTCTAGTTGGTTCCTTAATTAATGGAGTGAGATTTACACTGCCAAATAAGTTTTTTTCTGCAGAGGACGAACGATTAAAATCACCCAGGATAATTTTGCCTTTCAAGAGAATTAACAGTTGACAAAATACAATTTATAGAATTAGTCGGAGCAGAGGGAGGCCTGTAAATATTTCCAATAGTTAAATGTTTATTTTTATGAAAAATAATATTGATAAAAAGACACTCAAAATTACCTGGCTCTATGACACATTCTGAAACTAAATTTAAAGCCACATAAAAATATACAATTATACAATCAAATTTAATGTATTGCAACACAAAGGAGGCTAACCCTACCTAGCAGCTGTAGGGTTAGTCGGTCGACATGCATATATTTACTGATTTAGGTTTAGGCACTAACTTCTGTGATGGTTAAGGTTAGGGTAAGTTGCCTCAGGGGGGCTGTCAACTCCTTAAACACAAACATCGGTAGCTAGCTAGCTACTTAGCGACTGGAAGCACTACTAGCATTTCCGGTCACCCCAGGGCGTCATATACACGAACATGGGGCGTATCATACACACGCAAAATCGTCGTTTTGCAAACAATAGCAACGGTTTTTCACTTTTCACAAAGTGTGTAGATGTGATGCCTGAGCATGAGAACAGGCTGGATCAACTCATCTTATTTTGAAAAACATCCAAAGCACTGAGAGTTGATTCAGTCCAGTTAGATATGCTGTATGTACCTGACCAATCAGCAAACATTAGGAAGTATCTGGATGACTAAAACCTTCAGAACCCCGACAAAACCTTATTCATAATCAAAACTAGCTATTACAGATACAGTAAAGTGGTTATGGAGAACATTTCCAGAGGAGATATTTGGTTTTGTAACCAAAGACAGCTCAGTAAGGCATGTTAACTTGTACAGTCAGGGTTCATGTTGACAGAACTGTTAGTCCTCTTTTGTGCAGCACACTTGAAATCCATCCATACTTCTACCACATGTCACAATTAATCTGACACTGATGCTTAATGTAGAGTTTCAAATTATGGAAATGAAAAACTTAGTAATATGCAATAAAATATATTCCATCACAGTGATGTAATTCCATGCGTAAACATAAAGGTAGTAAGAGAATGAGAGATGGTTATAATGACAGCCACAGTTTGCCAGCTTGTTCTCCACATAGACAACTGCACCGTGTATGCACTTCTCAAAATGTTTACTTAATAACATTGTCAGTCACACCTTCAATTATGAGCGATGCCATGTTACAATATTATTCCATAAATTATATCACAATATTTAGAATGTAACTAAATAAAATAACGTTAAGAATATTGTGTTGAAACATTAAACATAGAAAACATAATTTTCCTTGCAGAAAAAATGAAGCACTGTAGTGATGATTATTATTATAATTATGTGAGTTACATTAGAGTCACAATCTTAAATACATTCCTTCTAGACATGTTTACTTCAGCTAGACTGAGCTTTACCATTTAATTACCCTGTTACTTTAGCTCGTGTGTACATGCACACATGTACACATCCCTCTTGGTGTGTGTATGTCTGTTTGTGAGTGTGTGTGTGTGTGTGTGTGTCTATCTGTCTGTCTCTGTGTTGAATACCCTAACAGCCTTATTACTTATCGTGTTTTTACCTTAAACTTCTTGGTTAAATGAGAGCATGGCTCAGCTTTGGATCAGCCCCAGGCATTTCCTTACGTGCTCAGTTAAAGGGGCGGGAGGTAAAACTCTGTAATTCAATTTCAATTAAAGGAGAGAAGAAGAGAAAGCTTTAATTGATTGTCGTTGTGCCAGAGCTGCGTGTGTGCGTCAGGCTGACTGTAGACACACACACACAGATGTCCTACTTTCTCCTTGTTTGATTATACTCAGCTCGTTTCCAGTCTATGTTGAGGAAGCATGGGAAGGGCTTTTCAGGCAGCTTTCGGACAACCACTATATTATTCCATGGAATGACTGAAAAAATGTTAATTATATTTATTTTTGTGTCATTGTATTTAAATATTAAGCTTTCAATTGAGTTGAATTTATTGTATTACTAAAAGTTGGTTATAAACAACAATGTGCATCAGATAAAAATGCTCAAAGGTTAATTAATTTTTATCTTTTGTGATATTTATTAAATAAAACAAGTCAACAAACTGTTTGTTTAAGCTATTGTCACTGTCCAAAGCTTATTCTAATGTGCCAAAGGGTATCATTATAATACCCCATGCAAATATGGCAACATTATTACACTGAGCATAGTTTGATCCCCAAAGTGATGGCGACTCAAAAACGTCCTGAAAGTCTGTCCTGCAATGTCACACTGTGTACAAAACGACACGGGTCAATGAGTGGATGTAAAAAAAAAAATAATAATAATAAAACAAGGGATAAAAAGGGAGAGAGAAAGAGAAAAACCCACAGAACTGCTTTTACCAAGTTTGTTTTTGCTCTGTTTTTTGGGTCTTTTTATCCTTTGTTTGTTTGCATTATTTGTGTTGGGATTTTTATTCGGCATCTCATGTCCCTTGTTGGGCTTTTTTTTTGGCTCAGCTACAAGGCGTTAATGAAAGCATTTCAAGCAAACATGTTGATTTTTGTTTCCACGGGGATCCAGAAGGCCTGACAATGTCACAGAGGCTTCGGCCAACAGACTGGTGGAAAAGACGGCTGCTTTTTTCCCTCTTTTATTCACATCGTGTATCTCCACTCTACTACGTCTCTCTCTTTCATTGTTAATCACTTGTTATATTTCTTTAAATTTCTCTAACTGCCCCGCTGTCTTCTGTGTTTTTGCCTTTACCACTTGTTTTCCCATATCCATCTTTTTTAAGCAGCCCTTCAGCTCTGTTTCTCTCTTTTTCTCTGCCACTTTTCTCTTTCTCTTCTTTCCCTTTCTGTTTCTGACCCTCTCTATTCTGCTCACTGCCTTTCTTCCTTTGTTGTCATCTATGTGTGAAGAGCTGTGATAAATAAAGACAAACACAGCAGTATGTGTTTGTGTGTGAGCAGTGTGAGAGACGGACGCCAGCTCTCTGATAGCATTGTTAGCCTCTCCACCTCTCCTCACTCCACTGCACATCCAGCTACAGGCTTTCTTCCCCCCACTCCATCCATCCAGGCCCCAAGCCAGGAAGGCGGCTTCGGGGCCAAGTCAGGCCAGGATGGAGGCTTCATTGTGGGGATGCAGGGGGGCGTTGGTGGTAGAGGATGAGGACCAGGGATCCAGGCCAAGCCCCAGACCCAAGACCCTGATCTGGCTTGCCAGCCGGCCCACTAAAGGGCCTTCGTGGCTGGGCACAACATCAGGGCAAGAGGGGAGATGGAGGCTGGAGGTCTCAGCAGCGGTAATGGCAGTGGCTAGATTAAGACCTTCTCTTAGAATCAGCACAATGGAGGAGGTCTACAGCGGAGCAACACGCGTATGCGCGAACACACACACACAGGCATGAACACATACACACTGCCTCTATTCAGCTCCGTCCATGTCGTCCATCAGAGGCAGAAAAGCATGAATAAATACATGAGCAGTGTAGCGCTCCATAGGACTGATAAAAAGAAAGAAAAACACACATGAATTACAGGAACTGAAAGAAAGAATGGTAAATTGAAAAAAGGGAACATATGAATAATTTTGATGGTTTTGTACTACAGTAATTGTAATGGGACAAAAAAAAAGAAAATGGAAAAGGAGGGTGTTGAATTATAAAAATCCTCCAAGTCCCTGAGCTCAGGAAATAAAATAATTAGGAAAAGTTAAAGAGGCAAGTTTGGAAATGAATGGCAGAAATGAACTTTCAGAGGCCTCTGAGTTATTGTGCAAGTAGTATCAGGTTTATATGACGGTATAGGTCTGGTTGCACTGTTGCAATGGCAGCAAGCAACCATTTTTGGTGATTCAAAGATAAGTCATTAGATGTTTATATGCTGATGCAGTTATTTATGACAAATAAACCAGATAATTCAACATCTAACACAGCCTGCAGCTACTACTACTAGCATAGCTAGTAGTAGTAGCTCTAGCAACATTTTAATACTCCATCTTACAGTTGACGGTTTCCAATGCAAATACTTTTTACCAAAGAAAGTAGTTGCATTGAAAGCTGTTGTGAACTGTGAAGAAAATATTAATAACCATCATTGTATTGGGGTGGAGGCAGAAACCCCTTAGAGATGGACAAGTAAAAACTGTGAAAATAAAACATCTGCACAGCTAAATAACAATGGGGGAAAGTGAGAAAATATGTTAGCCATAACATTAGGATGGACCAACTGAGAATGAAGGAGTGAATATATCACACTGACTGATACAGCTTCCAGATGCTGTGCTCGTCAATTGTCGATATATCCATGCTGAAAATTTGTAATAAAAACCACGTTTGTGAGACTTTTTAAGGCTAAACCAAGGGCCCACCTGTTCTGAAATGACAGACAACAGCTCAGTGTACAACCGAAGCGGATTGAGCATTTTTATTAGGACTTTCAATTCCTGTTTTGCTTTGTTTGTATAATTGGCATGGTATTCTATCTATACAGTCTAAGTTAGGTATTCACATGAGGCACAAAAACATGTAAGTGTAATCCACTCCTAAGAGATTCTTAAGAACATAATACAAACTTGTGATAACAACTCTGGACCTGATAAAAAGAAGCACAATTAAATGCAGCAGAATTTCTAGTTGATACACTATCGAGAGCATTGCATCAATACCCTTATCTAATTTGGTCACACAATTTGCACCAATTTTCTGTTTCTTTTTACACATAATTCAAGTCATTATGAGAGTGGCGGGAGAAAGGAAAGCTGAGAAAGCAAGCAAAGAGAGAAGATGACGTGTATCAAAGTTCACAAAGTGTAAATATACCCGTGAGGTCTGCCCAGTGCAGCACACTGTATGTTGCTTTATTGAGCACTGTTCATTTTTCTTTGTGTTAGCTAATGTCCATGTTTTTGGCCACAGAGGAGAGTAGAGGAGCCTAGATACCTGGTAATGTCTGCAATAAGACCTTTTTACCACCTCTTACCTCTTCACCTATACTATATGGTACTTCTGTAGTCAAAGTGTGTGTGCGTGTGCATGCATGTGTTTGTGTGTGTGTGTGTTTGCGTCACAGCTCTCAGAAAGGACCCTGGGACCCTCCTCGACAGTGAGAGCTTTTAGCTCTTCTTCGCTAATGTCCTGAATAATGGCATCTTGATGGAGAGAGAGAGAGTAGACAAAAAAGAGAAAGAGAGAAAGGGGGAGAAAAAGAGACAGAGCGAGGGGGGTGGGAAAAAAAGACAGAAAGAGAAACCTCTGCATCCATCTGCCCCTACCTCCAGACCTCCATCAGTACCAGGCCTATCATTATTCCCTCTCTCTGCCTTTCTATTTTCATTTTTCCCTTTTTGTCTCCTTTTTCAGCATGATGATCCGCAGAGATTTTACTTGCTCTTGCAAAAAGACACATCTCAGTATGTGTGTGCACGTCCATCCAAAAGTAAAGAAGTCCTTATGTGGCATTCCAACCTTTCAGCAAAATTAACTTGTGATGCCTTTGAAGCATTATTATGAAGAAATGGGAATATGCTGTTTTCAGCAAAATTACCATTACACAAGTCCTTCAAGACGCAGCTTCATGTTGGCTCCAACAAAAACTCAGACTCTACCAAAGTCCAGTAAAGAGGTTTTCTGTTGAAATGCAAAGTTAGATTTTCTGCTCCACACAATTAAGATCTTGATAGTGAGTCTTGTAATGTGTCTTAGGTATGGCTTTATTACAAGAAAGAGAATAACATTTTGGTGTCAGCCATGGTGGGCCCAGACTTCCTCTCCTGTTGCCCAGATGTAGAGCTGACGTCATTGATGCTATGTGCGTGTCTTCTTCAGTCTATGGTTGAAACAGAAAAGTGGAAATGGAATAAAACTGTTTAAGACTTACAAGATAAAACTGGTTCCTGTTTTGTGCTACAAAGAAATCTTCTCAGTGTTTGTGACGTACATTACTTGCCTGATTTTGTCACTTGTCATGTTAAATTGCTATATGGCTCACTTAAAATTAAACTGCCTGAAAAAAAGATTAATTCACTTTCTATTGTTTGTTTAAAGTCTGTTCTTTAAAAAGTGATTATGAGGGAGATTACCACAGGTGTACCCCATGTTTAAAACATATGCGATAGTACTGTGAAAGTGGCAAACCAATTATGTATAAACTACGTACTGAAATACTTACTTACTTACACTGATGAATAAATCCCAAAGATAGCTTGAGTCCAGTATACAGTAACATGATGCTAGTAGCACCTCCCATTTGCATAACACACTTCATTAAGTATCAACACAGATTCCTTAGAAAATGTCACATCCAGGTATTTTAAAATGATGCTCTTAATTTCAAAAATACCTCAGGTGTTATTTTCAGATTTTTCTTTCCTTTTCTCTTGTGGGAAAACTGTTCCTGCTCCGTCGCTATGGATAAGAGTGTGAGCTAAACGTCAAGAGTTCTGTGCTCTTTGACGATGTTTGGATGGTCAGTTTGACTCTTTGGTTAAACCCTTTAATATTAGCAGCAGGTGGTTAATTACAAACCTCACTGTTGGTATTTGGGTTGTCAGGTAACTGTGGCACTGGAACTCAGCAAACTGATAGTCCAGGGTGACTGGCTATGACCGAAACACACACAGAAACACACTGACAATGCCACACGTTCTCTTTCTCACACAGTTTCCACCTTCTTGTCTATCTCTGTTTCACAAATGCAAGAACACTGGCTCTGTGTGTGTGTGTGTGTGTGTGTGTGTGTGTGTGTGTATGTGTGCATGACTCATTTATTGGAGTAACACACTCTCCCTCTCTCACATAAACACTAGTGTGGGGTCATCACCACATCAGGCAAGTAAACACAGGTAGGTCAACCAGTTAAACATTAATACAATTATTTTCTAATCATGACTGTCAAAACAGCTGCTACAAATATACCTGTCCATTATTGTTTTGAGTAAGTGAAATGAGACAGGTATTAGCTCCACTTTCTTTTGACATTTTTATCATCCTGCCTTTCTCATTGTCTGGCTGTTAAGTAGCAACACTTCTTTTGAAAAAAGGGCCATCCTCTTTAATAACTGCCCTCTTACCCCTTTTGGCCTTTTCTGTAAATTACCATTATTTGCTTTTTTCCATATTGTCTTATTCACATTTTCAGCAGCAAAACTGTCTCATAAGCAAAATACAACATTGTACCCTCCTCTTTAGAGAGTCATTCTAACCACATGGACTCATATATATATATAGGCCTATATAATTTTTTTTCTCTCTCCCCACAAGCTCAGGAGCGATACTCACTTCATAGAAGTTGGATTTTTCGTTAGCATTTTCTCGTCCATTGCTGATGCGCTGCACGCAGATATGTAGGCTAAGTAGTTAACTACAAAATGGCATCACCCAGGGCGCCGTCGCTCAAATAGGTCATAGCTTTTACTGCTCGTTGTTATGGGAAAAAAAAGTTTGTGTGTTGCATTGTGGTGAAGTTAAGTTGCCATGCCTGTGCCAAATAATTGGCAAAGCATCATTACAAAAACAGGGCCTGTCTGCCTCTGCATGCAAGGACAACCTGTGTAGCACGGAACACACATCTGTCTCCTCTGGGGAATTATTTATTAGACATTTCTGGGTTTTAATATCTATCTTTTCTACAAATTAAACCGCACGGCACAGCTGCAGAGCACTTGAAATTATAGTACAACTTCGTGTAAATGCCAATTATTCCCGTGCGTAATTAAGTAAAGAGGAGAGATGCTGGTTAAGTGGCACTGCGACGCACAGCTCTGATACTGCTTGTTTGTTAGAGAGGGTACGCCGATATTTAATATTGAAAAATAATGGAGAAATTCCGAAACCACGTTGAATTACCTCAATTGAATCAGGAGGAACGCAATGCCTCAAGAAAATTATTTCATCTCAATAACTTTGAATTACAAATGCACTTTTTATTATAGGAAATAGTGGTTTTCATAGGGTGGCCCACGCAGACACCGAGAGCACTGGCATACCTATGCACAAATATACACCGCAGAAATCTACATTTTTACTTTTATTCAATGAATCTCCGATCTAACTGTTTTTAAAAATCATACTAAAAATGCTGACATTGTATAGTTCCACTTCTCTCACAAAAAAAATAGTTCCGCGAGGTTCCCTTTAGCCTCAGAAAAAATTTAATATGCACGGTTTATTCCATAAATCGTGTATAGATTATTCTTATTAACCTCCATAATTAATCATTTTCGCTTCATGAATTTTTTTCTGTCTGTGTGATTTTGATTTTATTCATCTGTTGAGCGCCTGCGGATTTACACATGCTGCGTCAAACAGGACCAGTCTGTGAAATAATTCTCTTTTTTCGACCTGCGCACCCAAAATAGATAGCGGTCAATCGCTCATCAGTGAGCCTTGATACCATAGGAACGTTAACTCAACATAACAGTGCAACAAACACACAACTCTAAACCTTTTTATTTTATTTTATTGTGCCAAACTGTAATTAAAAACTCCGACTAAGATGATATCTTCATGTAATAAATGAAAAGTAGGCGGAGGTTTTATTGCTGGATCTTTAAACAATCTGCTTCTTAAAAGGCCTCAGCCTGTCCATCTTTTAAAATTCGCTTTAACATGGAAATATAGTTTCATCTTCCTGTGATTATGTTTTATTTACAGCTCTCAGTGTCTCTAGAAGGACGGAGAACGTTCTGGATTGGCGGAAATGGAGAGACTCCTCCAGCTCGAAGCGAGTCTCAGCTCTTCTGTAGTATCCGTGAGCTAAACACTAACACCCTCTTGCCTCCAGGGTTGCCTGACCTCTGGTCTCGGGATAACCCGGGAGTCTCCCCCATCAGAAGTATAATTTAAAAGCATTATTTTTCTGCGTTTTGGGCAACTTTCTTTGATTGACAAGGAGCTCCGGCAGAGGCGCACGGTTGTTTCCAATTACGCACATGCAAGCGGCATAAAGGCACGAGGAATGAAAAGAAACATAAACTTGAAGCATGTGTTTATTTAAAACACGTAATAATCAGAGCTGCATGCATACAGTGCACATGTACATAGGCATGTTGTTTTAGCTGTAACTGAGTAAAAGCATGCAAACCATGAAATAACTGACATTTCAAAGTTATCTTAATTGAATGACACAAGTCGGGAAAAAAGTAGGCCCACGCAGGTTAAATGTACTGCTTTGATTTATTAAACTGATGATGTATTTGTATCGCAAACCAGGGTATTTGATCTTCCTTCGTTAATCAATTAAATAGAAAAAACAAAACAGGGGGAATAAACTAAGCACAAACATGGAAATTAAATCCGGATTAAGTTAAACTATAAATTGGTTCTACAAAGATTTATGTTCAGCTTCTCCGCAAATGAGAAAGGTTGGTGAACCTGACTTTCAGTTTACCCTCCACATTATCCTCTGCACCTCTCTCCTCCCTCTCCGCTCTGGCTTCGCGCAGTTTTCAAATGGGTCCTTATAAATAAAATCCACCGTCCCCGGTTCCTGTTCCTTATTGGTCAGGTGGAGCCATTACCTCACTCCGGGGCCAGTGACGCAACGTCTTCACGTATCCTTCATGTGCGTCTCTTCGTGTTTCTTATTGAGAGTCTTGCCGTCGGTCAGAGGGAGAAAGCGGGATTCGCGACGAGCCGAGAGTGCCGGACGGACCGGGTGCGCTTGATACTAAACACTTCCCATCCCGGGAGGAGAGCGGCGCACAAGAGCAGGTTCTCTCTCTCTCTCTTCTCTGTGTCTCACTCACTCTCTCTCTCTCTCTCACACACACACACACACACACACACACACACACACACACAGACTTTCTCTAAAGGATCTCTCTCTCTCGCTACCTCCAGCACACACACTCACGCCCGCGTGCACGCACGCTCTGCGTACGTCTCCACTTTGCTGTAGTAAATTACGGCATTGATCTTAACGGCGAGTGCGGATCTGTCTCTTGTGTTCGCCCTTTCTTCGACGGACCGGCTTGGAGAAACGCTCGACAGAGAAGTAAGTACACACACTTATTTCTTGCCATTAGCCTATTATTATCACTCGTGGGTTTATATGCTGAACGTGTGTGTGATTTGTCAGACCGCACCGTGTTCGTTGTAACTTAACCTCCACTCCTCTCACATCATGGACTCAGATGGTTTAGTTAAATTTTGGACTGTTTTCCAAAAACAGTTTTTCTTCACACTGACTTCATGCGCGTCAGCCTGACACTGCTTATTATTTTAGCCGGCGAAAATAAATGTGCTAAAATCTCTGATTTAAGTCTCTTTAAGAATTAAAATGAGTTTTTGTTCGCTGCCGTGCTTTACTTTCATGGCCAGTTTGTGGTTGTTGCAGAGTTGAACTCTCGGGGATTTACGCACCTACTGTTGCTTTTGGATTTCTTATCGACTGATGATGGTCTATTTCTCTAATTAAAGTAAATAAAGAACTCGGACAGTGGATCAACATCAGATAAATGTATTTCAAGTCCGTTTTATTGATATGTAGTAAAGTAATTTAGCATTCAGCCTTGTATCTAGAGAAGCTATTGATTCTTTATATAGTACCGCTAAAAAAGAGCAAACTGCTTTAGAAACAAGCTGATTTATCTCTTTCCATTGGCCCAGCTCTCCACTACTCAGAGATAACTTTATAATACAACAATCAACGGTATGTTAAGATGGAAATGTTTGCAGCGTGTGCCAGTGGAACTGCCGCTGTCGTGTCATTATCGTGGACTAATTGGTGTATGGACTATGACAAACATATTTCTATATTTGCCGTCCATAATGCCGTGCGTAAAAGTAACAGATTGTGTTTTCTGTCCGACTCTTGGCAGCGGTGCTCTCCGCTCACAGCGCGCACAGTCAGCTTAAGCGAGAAGAAATGCTCTACTTCACACTTTAGCTATCAATAATGACCGCGCTATTGGGTTCCTCTTAAGAGGTGTAGAAGGAAGTAGAGAGTGGTGATCTATCACCACTTTCAAAAATAATTTTTACATAATTGTACTTGTTTGTTATTTTCTGCCAAACCTATTTCTATGAGGCTGAAACATTGGGATAAACTCTATAAGTAAGGTGAGCGGCTTTACCCTTCACATCATTGTCATCACTTCCTATTTCAGTTCTCAACTGCAGAGCCAGTTATTCCTGCACTTTAAATTCAGATAAATAAAAAAAAAAAAAGTTTCTGTTTGATACAGAAACCCCCACACACTCTCACATCTCCTTTCACAGGCACCTCTGAACAGTACTATGAATGTTTTTTCTGAACACCTTGTATTGCTGCATGGTGTTACAATAGTCTGAGTCCAACTTAGATTTCTGCATGATAATACTTGTCAATGTTGATGAAAAAGGTGCTGATCATCATCCTCCTTTGCCTTGTTTATTATTAAAACACATAGGATTTTCTTTTTTACACTGATGCGCTCATGGTTTGAACTCAGACACAAATTTCGAAATAACCAAGTTTTCCAGCTCTTTGGACTCCCTAATCTAAACTGTTTGCCTCTCACTCTCTCTACCTCTCCTCTGTGTGTGTGTGTGTGTGTGTGTGTGTGTGTATGAGAGAGGAACTAATAATGCAAACAGAGAGCAATGTGTGTATGCATGTACTCTGTGTGTGTGTGTGTGTGTGTGTGTGTGTGTGAGAGTGTGTGTATCTGGGTCACTGTGCTGAGGGGCTGAGTATTTATCTGAACACCTCTTGTCTACAACACTGAAAGTCGGAGTCACATTCGAACTAACCCTTCTCCCCTGCATGGAAAGTATTTGTCTGTATATGTCTGCTTTATCGGCTGTTGTCGGCTATTGCAAAAGCATCTCATTTGTGTCCCTGATTCAGCCTGTATGTGTGTTTGAGCACGTTCGCATTTTCTGTCATTCTTGTCCTGCTACAGTTTGTGTTTTACCGCATTTAACACTGAACGTATATCTGCTTAACTCCTATGAACACAGGCAACAGCTCTGCCAAACTGTTATAGGAAGCAGCTCTTTATTTTGTGAAATGACTTGAACCTGAAATCACTTGCAAAACAGATGCAAACATGTAACATGGAAAACGCTGCCTATATGCATGCGTGTGAAGGCACAAGTGCAAGCAGACATGCACTTCCATCGTTCACCCGTTTTACAATGGCTTTTTATAAATCGTGTTAGATTAGTAGATAGTTTTTGAAACTTTTTTGTCTTCATTCATTTGATTTGATCCATAAATTAATGAGGAAAGTCAAATAAAAAAATTAAAATCATCTGTGCTATAAATTCAGATTTGGCACGAGATCATATATTTTAAAAATCCGGTTTTGATAGTTTAAGTTAAGTTAACATCCTACACTATCCTGGGATTTCTTGCATTTTTTACAAGCACCTCTCTGGTGCCTCTACCTCTCTACACGTGCCGCATAATCGATGTAGTCACTCATGACAGAAAAATAAACTTATGCTTTGAAAATGCAGTATGTGGAGAACCTACCTCAAGTGGCAGCATGTATAAGATTTTTTTTATATATATAAAGTTTTATACCATCAATGCTTTCCAAAATTTTAGTACAAGTACCTATTTCTTTCACATCATGTGAAGAAGGAAAAAAGAAAACTAACACACTCTTGAGAGTGGAGTGAAATCCCTCTGACAATAAGAGAACGCCTGTCGATTCTTCACAGCTCCTCACAAGATGCAGAAATCAAGGTTACCCCTCAGGGGACGAGGAGGAAAAGGGAAATTGTTTTGGTTATTACTGGCAGGTGTTACTTCTCTGTGGGAATATATCCTTTAACTATTTTAAAGAGTGTGTTTGTTTCTCACAGTGGTTCCCTTGACTTTTGGTCAAGAAATGCACTATGAGTAATGTTTTGAATTTGACTCAGTTTGCAATCTATAATAGTATCTGCCCTATTTCTTTCTCTGTTGGTTTGAGATGTTTGACATTTTTGTGATGGTTCTTGAGTGGTGATTTATATATCTGTTAATTATTGTCTACCCTGTTTGATAGTTGGAAAGGTAAGACATAGGGTAAAGAAAGTTTTCTACATGAGATTTCTATATTTATTTCGGAAAGGAAAAAAGCACATTATCTGCAGTTATCTAATGTCTTTTAACTGCATTTCCTGTATTTTCAAAGTTAAGTGTCATTAAATGTAGCTACCAATTTCAATGAGTGGGCTTCTCTCTGCCCAAAAGATTATCACTTGATGCACTTTCTGCTAAATGACAAAGATTTGATTTTGGGAATGAAAAAACTTGGCAAAACGCCACTTTCCGGGTGATAGTAAAAAGATGAAATTATACCAATTTGTGTTTATTTGTGTTTGCCGTTGACCAGGTAACTCCTCTCACCCTGCGTGTGTCTGTGAGGACTCCTGGACATGTCCGTTTAGCCCCCCTGCGTGATGCCTGATCATGACAGCACCACCCTCCTAACCAGACAGACCAAGCGCCGACGTGTCGACATTGGGGTGAAAAGGACTGTGGGTAGCGGGATATTCAGCCGCGCCAGGGAGACCCTTCTCGACAGCATGAATCAATCGCACGGCATCGATCAGGACGGAGACTGCTCATTGGCCAGTCATGGCCATGGGGGTACAGACGGAGAAAAGTCGAATGTTTTGAGGAAGTTGCTGAAGAGGGCCAACTCGTACGAAGATGCCATAATGCCTTTCCCCGGCGCTACTATCATCTCTCAGCTACTGAAAAATAACATGGGAAAGAATGGAGGCAGTGACTCAGGCTTCCAGGTATACGCAAATATACAGGTAGTGTTGAAATGTTAAGTCAATCAATAAATTTTTTCAACCCTTATCGATTGATCAGTTAAATCATTAATTCAATTTGGTGTTTATTAATTCGGTCCTCCTGTCCTGCATCACAGGGGAGTGGAGCTCTGTCCAGTGGAGGCTCAGAGATTCAGGCCGAGGACGCCTGCAGCAACTCATCCCGTGACAGGGACAGCCCCTCTGACTGCCTCTCTCCTGGGCCTCCTCTTCCACCTCCACCTTCCTCATCCTCTTTCGGGCGGCCACCACCTCCTTCGAACCATAACCCCCACATTCCACCTCAGCCCCTCTCCCTCTCCTCCTTTGACTTGGACAGGCTTTCAGATGAGCACCTTCGTGCCAAGCGTGCCCGCGTGGAAAACATCATCCGCGGCATGAGTCATTCACCACTGGTCCGGCCCAACGCCGGTGACCACAACCAAGAAAGCAACCGCGATAACGAGAACAGCAGCAACAGCAGTAATGACCACAGAGTAGACGGCAACAGCCACGGTATCAGCAGCCATGACCACAGGCGGAGCGATGGCCCTTCTTCCCTTCTGAGCTCTCCGGGTTCGCGGGGCGGCGTGGTTGGCGTTGGTGAGGTTTACAGGGAGAATAAGAGGAAGCAGCGCCTGCCACAGCAGCAACACAGCTTCACCCAGCTGGTGTGTTCCAGGCAGGAACAGAGACAAGAAGAGCGGCGGCAGCTCAAACTGCAACTGGAGGACATGCAGGTTGGTAGCAGATGACATTAACAGACCTTCTGTGTAGCCATTTGTAGATAAAATGCACCACAAACATCAGCCGCCCCTACCTCCTGTGTGGAATTGAAGTCTGAAGTTCTGAACTGAGTTTATTTAGTAAAATGAGGCACTAGAATGGCAGTGAATAAGTAGATGGTATTCTATTCCTTGAATCTGTACCTAGAGAGAAGCAAGACCTGTTACAGAAAATCATTGCGCTTGGTGTTTTTGGTGCTGATGCACATGCAAAACAGTACAGTAGAATAAAGTGTGACAGAGTGTCTGACCACCAAGTGGGTTACATGTAATATGAGGCATACTGTACTATTTTCATTCCCCCTTCAGTATATTTATGGTAACGTGACCTTTAGGTTCAGAAAGCTCCTTCTTTAACATTCTTTATCCTTGTTCAGAAACAGCTGCGTCAACTTCAGGAAAAGTTTTACCAGATCTACGACTCAGAGACAGAAGAAGAGGAAGAGAACGGTGAGAGCGCAGAGGCTGACCGAGGTAGAGAAAGAGAGGAGGATGGCAACTTGTCAGAGGACAGTATCCGCTCTGATGGCTTGGAGGAGAGGCATAGAGACAGAGGGCGGCATAGCCACAACGACCTGTCTGACCTGGACCCAGGCCTGTTCCTGGACCGGGCCCGAGCACTCCTCCGAGAACAGGCCCTGATAGATGGAGAAATGGAGGAGGATGTGGATGGCAGGGAGGAGGAGGGGAGGAATGGAGAAAGAGTGACGAAGAGAAGAGGTGGAGCAGCAGGAGGAGGGGGAGGAGGAGGAAGGCAGTTAGCAGAGACACTGAAGCAGGAGCTGAACTGTGCCGTGTCGCAGGTCGTCGACACCGTTGTCAAAGGCTTCTCCTCACCCAAGCAGGCCATCAGTCACCATCACAGCTGTCACAGCAGCACACCGGCTGCACCCTCATCTTCCTCTAATTCGTCCTCTTCATGTCCTCCGCCTTTTGGTCCCCTTCCCTCCCTCACCCCAGAGTCACGCTTTGGTGGTGGCGCTCTGGCCCTCAGTCTGAACGGCGACGGCAGTCCCACACCTAACTACCACTCATCCAACCAGAGGCTGCACTGCTTTGGCGATGTAATCGTCCCAAGCCCGCTGGATTCCTTCGGTGGTTTGAGTGGCAGACTGAGTGGTGTGCCAACTCCCAACGACCAGACAGAGGCGCTGCCTCTGGTGGTGCGCAAGAGCAGTGGAGGAGGTGGAGGAGAGAACAACAACCTCTCTTCCTCTCTTCCTCCTCCTCCTCCTCACCATCCCTCCCTCCACCCCTCTCCCCTCACAGCTTCACTTGGGTTTAGCCCTCCATCCTTTCGCCACCCATTTCCTCTTCCCCTTATGGGTTACACCTTTCAGAACCCCCTGGGGTCACACGGGGTTGGAGCTGGCTACCCTCCAGGGCCGAAAGACCACCACCGGTCCTCCCCCGATTCCATGGACATGACCCGGGAAACTGTCAGCCTCAGAACCAAAATGGCATCTCTTGGAGGAGGCCATCTCAGTCACCACCACCACCACCACCACCACAGGCAGAGCTCACCAAGCCAACATGGACCGGAGGGTCTCTCCCTGTCCCTAATCAAGTCTGAGTGTGGGGACCTGCAAGACATGTCCGACATTTCGCCCTACTCCAGCAGCACTGTATCCTTGCTTTTTAGTCTTGGGTTAGGTTTGGGTCACAGAGTTAAGATTAGAATTTAGCTGTATCCCAACTGCAAACCGCATACTAATTCTTAGCTGGCTTTTAATATCCAGTTCATTACATTGCAATGTTCAAAGGAAATGGAGGCGGCTCAAAGGTGGAAAAACTCTTGGGGACGATGGTGAGAAGGCTCCAGGAAAAGTATACATACATCTAAAAGTATTTATGTGTCTTCTCTTGTTAAGTTTGATTCAATCAATCAATCAATCAATCAATCAATCAAACTTTATTTCTAAAGCACAACCAGGTTAACCAAAGTGTTGTACATTGACATGAAACAGTTAAAATACAACACCAGTCAAATATAACATACAGCTCTCTTGCCGAATTAAAGGCCAAAGAATAAAATGTGTTAAATTGTGATTTTAAAGACCGGAAAGATGGGGGCCAGTCTGACATGAAAAGGCAATTCATTCCACAGTCTTGGGGCTGCGACTGAAAAAGCTCGATCCCCTTTGCTCTTGAGCTGTGTTTTAGGGACAACAAGAAGAGACTGGTTTGCAGACCTCAATGACCTTGAAGGAGCATGTGGCTTCAACAGATCAGTGATATAGGCTGGAGCTAGTCCATGGAGGGCTTTAAAAACAAACAATAGAATCTTAAAATCAATCCTAAAATTAACAGGGAGCTAGTGAAGAGAGGCAAGAACAGGGGTGATGTGATCTCTCTTACGAGTTCCAGCAAGGAGACAAGCGGCAGCATTTTGAACCAGTTGTAGTCGAGAGAGGGAGGCCTGGCTAACGCCTACACACAGAGCATTACAATAATCAAGGCGTGTTGTGATAAATGCATGTATGACCCTCTCGAAATCTGTCAAAGATAAAAAGGGCTTAAACTTAGTAAGAAGCCTACGTTGAAAGAAACTTGCTTTCACAACAGAATTGATCTACTTCTTCATTTTAAAATCACAATCCATTTTAACTCCTAGGTTTGTTACAACAGACTTAAATGCCCAGGTCTATTTGTGAGACATCAGAGGTGCCACTGGGTCTAAAAACCATGACCTGTCGAGAGTTTTACTCTTGTTGAAGTTTAAAAAATTTAAGGCCATCCAGGCTTTAATATCATTAAAACAGTCAACCAATCTTGTTAAAGAACTACCATCTTTTCTTTTGATGGGCAGATAGATATGCGAATCATCTGCGTAGAAATAGAAGCTGATGTTATGTCTTTTTAAGATTGATCCAAGGGGAAGCAAATACAGTGAGAAAAGAATTGGCCCGAGAATTGAACCCTGGGGAACTCCACATGTGAGGGACACAGAAGGTGAAATAGATCCACCAAAACTAACTCTAAAGTCTCTGTCTGAGAAGTATGACCTCAACCAGTCTAAGGCAGTACCCTTAATCCCCACGCCATGCTCGAGGCGAGAAGTAAGGACGCTGTGGTCAACTGTGTCAAATGCTGCTGTAAGATCTAAAAACATAAGAATTGAATAATCTCCAGAGTCAGTTGAAAATAAAAGATCATTAAAAACTCTTTCTCTAAAATCTTCGAGACAAAAGGTAGTTTAGAGACAGGGTGTTTTTTTGATGAGTGGTTGCACCACTGCTTGTTTAAAATAGGCTGGTACAGAACCTGAAGTAAGGCTGCTATTTATAATTTCTTGGATGTTAGGTCCAATAGTGTCCCACAGCTGGTGTGTAACAATATTTTTGAGAGTAGAGATGGATACAGACTCAAATCTGGTGAAAACAGCTGCACTCTATGGAAATGGAGGGGTCAAAAGCAGGAATGAGATGCTTGCTCTAACTGAGGCAATCTTACCCACAACAAAGTGGAGAAATTTTTCACAGGCCTCAGAGAATGCTACATGATAAACGTATTGGGGAGTATTAAGAACAGAGTTAATTGTTTTAAAGAGAACATGATGTTTGTGGCAATTATTTGAAATAAAATCTGAGAGATACTTGGTCTTCTCAGCTATAACTGTTCTCTGATAATTGTGCAAACTTTCTCTAAGAATGTCATAAGAAACCTGCAGATGATCTTTTTTCCATTTGCGCTCAGCTTTCCTACACTCTTGTCTAGCAGCCTGAGTTAAGTCATTTATACAACGTTCACATTTGGGTTTTGAACACATGGATTTAAATTGGGCAATGATGTCAAGAATGTTGCAACAAGTGGATAAAAAAGAAGATATTAACTCTGTACATTGTATTTTGACAAGCAGAGGATTCCATAGTCTCCCTAGCAATATTAAAAGCACCAGAGCATTGGTAGTTTAATTGACATATGTTAATGTAATGTATATGTCCTGAAATATCCAGTATATCATGATACATTTTGCACATTCAGTTACATTGACGCATCATTTCCTACCTCATGTTTGATAATTGGACTTATTTGTCCTTATATATTAAATTAGGTCAGATTATTTAATTTATTGTCCAGCTCTACATACACAATAAGCATGTAGTATGGAATTGGGGCACATTGGTATTAGTATGTATTACGGTGAGCATGTTAAACACTATGAAGTAAAAGAAAATGATTGTTAGCATTAAGAACATCCTAAATTTAACTTTTTTGTTTGTGCACTTGGAAGGAGTTTAAATCGGCAATGATTTGATTTCCCTGCTTTACAAGAGTCACATTTTTAACAGTCAAACACACTGACACCATTTAGAAGCAACCGCAGCAGCAGGCAGTGGTCAAAGAAAGTCTTTAATATCAATTAATCTGCATTAATTGGTTCCTGCTCTAAACCTCTTGTTTCCTCGCTGAGTGGGGAAGATGAAACAGGGCGCTATGGGTCTTGCAAGAGGGGGATGATTAAACAGGTTGCACGCTGCTCTCTCAAGCTCTTTTAAGTCTGTGCAGCAGGTTGTGGTGTTTAAAAGTGCTTCGAAAGGATAGGGAGCTACCTCTTCAACTCACACGCTCTCCCACTGTCTGAGACACTCTTGTGCGGTTAGGTTCTCTTTCATCACAAAGACTTTGTACATAAACGCTCAAAGCAAATCATATTTCACTGCGTCTGTGTGTGTTTGTGTGCTAAGACCCTGCACATAGGAGCTCAAAGCTAATCATATTTCAAAGAGCACGGGAGAGGAACAGGTGAATGCTTGGCCTTATTGATGGAAGCTTTTTAAATGTGTGTGTTTTGGGGGTTGAGGAGACATATAATGTTTAAAATGTAAGTATTGGTCTCAGCTTTACAGTTTCTAGCTAGATGTCTCCCTTTCGTTTTCTCCCTCCTACTTGCTTTCATTTGTTGTCCTTCGTTCACAGTTGCTCGGCAGCTGTGTGTGTTTTGCCTCCTTTCACGGTGCACACACACACATGCCCACGCACACACACACGCACACACACACACACATTCCCTTTTCATGGCGTGTGCATGTGGACAGGTGTTTGCAGGTAGCTGTTTATCTTTTCGTTCCTAACCTTTCATATGAAGAGGGCTTCTCCCGGCCACGACACATGCACACACTTTGACTCACACATGCACACAAGCATGTGTGCGCACACGTGCACGCTTGAAGAACAAAGTGAAAAGAAAAATAAGACTTTGAACCTCACAAATAGGAACTCCTTGCAGCTGTGATGAGGATGCGATCACAGTGTCGTCTTCAAAGCCAATGTAGATGTTGCTTTAATTAAAAAAGAAATATTTGACACGTCTCTTGATCCTGCTGAGCCGTTTCATTCCAAAATGCTTTTCCATTCATTTGGACGGGAAAAAAAGTCTTTGAAATTGGACATTAGTATTTCAAAGATATTGAACACCCTGCAACCCTCCCTTTTTTTTATTTTGTAGGTAAAAAAAAGTTTGATTGTTTTCAAAAACTGTGTTTTTACAAGACATTTCATTTTAACAACAACAATCCTTCAATCCAAAATGAGTTAACTCACTTTTATGAGAAAGGTATCTACTATGTAGGCTTTATTCATTAATATTATTATACGATAAATTCTTTATGCTACTGGCAGTCCTGAAAGGATGTCCAAATAAGCCTTATAGAAAATGTATTGACAACAATTTTGCTGCTTTTCTCAGCTTTCTATCATTTTTAGGGCTGGGCGGTATTTCGGTATATGAGGTATACCGAAATAATTTCAAAAGAAATGTGAAATTAGACAATGCCGTTTATTCCGATATAGTTTGATGTTGAGTTAATTAATATGTTTCGCAAAGTCCTGCCAGCACTCCTCTCTCTCTCCCTCACCGCGCAGCCCAGCCCACCCTATGTGTTTGCACATAGCCGTCTACTCACAAAGTCTCTAACAACATGGAGGGAGAGACTGCTGAAGTAAAAAACAACGGTTCAGTCAGTGTTTCCCACACATACACTTTACTTCAGAGGGCCGCCCAGGTATATTAAAGGCCGCTCTGGGAGATTTTTACCATTTTCTGACATTTTATAGACCAAATGATTACTCAATTAATTGAAAAGATAATGGACAGATTGTTAGTAGCATTGCTGACTTTGTATGACATGCACACATTTTTACATTTCTTGGCATCAACCATGTCTTAAGCTTTTGAGAACACACCAAACATCATTGCTATGTTCATAAAAAAGGACACATTTTGCATAAACCTTGTTGTTTCCTGTGGTGCTACTTCTTCTCCCTCAATCTGAAAGCGATACTTTAAAAAGAAAACAATTTCTGTTTTTTTCCTTGTTTTATTTCTTTCTCTGCCTCCAATTTTGATTTGCATGGCAGGGATAAAATGATGATGGCATTGTCATGGATTTAAGGCTTCAAGAAATCCTCGCAGTTAGGTTAAAGTGTTTTGCATCAATCATGGTTCATGGAAAAGGCACTCACACACCAACACACATACAAAAACAGTCACACATACTCTCTCTCACAGGTCTGTGTATCGTTAATCCTTTGTACAGAGCTGAGCAGATGTCCCCCATTCATGTACCCCCCCCCCCCCCCCCCCTTCTCCTCCCAAGCCAACCCCCCCACCCCAACCCCCCATTAACACACAAACACGCATACAAACACACACACACCTGGCAGCAAGGTCAAGTTACAGCTGATACAGTGCTGCACAACACACACACACACACACACACACACACCATCATCATCGTCCATTGCATTGTTTATTCACTGACTCACACAAACAGACACACACAGCATTGTTTTTTTGTCATTATGATATTGCTTCACACTGTTTACTCTGAGTCATGTTTGTGCGGTTTAGTGTGTATGTGTTTGAGATCATATGCTTTAGTTTGTGTGTGTGTGTGTGCGTCTGTAGAAAACAAGGTAGGCTGCAAAAACACAATGTATTATCTGCCCTAAACACACACAGATAGTGACAGGTTGATATGAATGTTAACTAGGCGGTGGTGTTGTTGTCCGGTGACCTGACGGATCTGCTGCTCCATGAATGATGGATGACAATACGACTCACCTCTCGCTTCAGCTACTGAACCAAAGTGAACGGTGTTGTGTCATTTTTTTTAACACATAGTCAGTGGATTTCTTTCAAAGTTTCTTTTTGTCAGGACATTTGTTTGAGGAACATAGAGAAACACAATAACACAAAAAACAATATCTCTGTCCTGAAGCTGCTCCTTCTCTCTTTTTCTTTATACTTTATTCATTTGCTTTCTCTCTCTCTTTTCCTGATTGCTGATGCTACTCTCTCCCTCTTTCCCTGTTCTTCTTTCCAACCATATAGGGCCCCTGGGGTTTCTGTATGTGTATGTGTGTGTGTGTATGTCTGTGTGCTAATTGACCTTGCAGGGGGTTCCATTGATTGCCTCATCTTCTCTGATAGATTATAGGGCTGTTAATGTGGTGGGGAAATGGCAGCGTGGTGGGGCACAGCTGTTGTCTCACACACACACACGCACGCACACACACACACACACACACACACACACACACACTCTCTGTGCCCATGCAACCAGGGCCTCCACAATTATTATTTTCCTTGTTGAGACAGTGGAGTAGACACCGGGGCTGCAGAGTCGGCGAGATGGCAGGAGTGAATGTGGGATTTGATCCAAAGCCAGCAGGTGCTCATATTTGCTTTTGCTTTGGGTGTAAAATGGCATGCCAAACAGAGGACTGGCTTTCTTTAATTGTATCTCCTAATTTTCTGTGGTTCTGTTAAATGGTAGTGTTGTCGTCCTCCTTGCTTTTGCTGGAGCGGTCACTCCTCGCTCTGACATGCAGCCAATGTGCTATTTTTTAAAAAGAAAAAAATCCCACCATCTCTGGCACTAATCACTCTGTGTTTACAGTAAAACATACATCTCATACTTGCACTGGCTACCATGGATAGCTTTAAAAAAATAATTAATGAATATTCAAGGGAAGGGAGCAAAGTTTCTTGTAGTTCTCCATCCATCTATCCATGTTGTATTCCTGCTTATTCTTTCCAGGTTTGAGGGCAGGGATGTAAGACAACTAGATACCTTTTTCCAAGATGTTTTTCAGACTCTCGGTCTCTCTGCATTGTTGGCAACTGGTCGAGCCCAGTTGAAAGGATGTGCATAAGACACTTGAGAAATGACAGAGTCATTTGAGGGTGACACTCAATGACACTCTGAAAATGTATTGATTGTAGGAAGTCTTTTTGGGTCAGTGTGCACCACGTCAAAGCTCAGCACTGTTCCTGGAGGCTTGGTTGAGGGAGGCTAAAGCCTATCCCATCATGTGAGACAGGTAGCTAGTCTATCACTGAGGCCTTCGTAGTTCTGTTCTGAGCAGTTGGCAACAGTGTATGAATGTGTGTAAATGGGTGAATGTGACATGACAAAAGCGCTATGAGCAGAAAGGTGCTAGACAAGTACAGACCATTTACCATAACTGTGCTACCAGCAGCATTTACTCAGACAACAAAATCTGGTCAACAGCCAGTATATGTTTGCGGCCCTGACCAACAGGGGCCTGTGTCTGGTAAAATGAGCAGCACATTTTCTTCCTGGTCATACTTCCGATAAACAGAGAAACTGGCACCTCAAAACACAAAAAGAATCACTATACTATACCCTCAGTTTTTTAAACATTTGACACTTTAGGAGACCACCAAATTCACTGACAATAGAAGAAGTGGATATTGAGTGATTACTGCTAATAACAGAGGAGCATATTTAGGTTGTTAGATGCCAGTTGGAAGTTTGGAGACACCACATTTCCTCACCCGTTAGGTCTAAATGCAGAACTCAAGTGCCAAACTGCTTTAGAGGGCCTACATCCAGCGTTCTTTGCGGCATATAATAATTGTGATTGTTGCTGTGGTACAGCTAACAAAACACAATTTCATTCCAAAATATAACATGTTAACCAATGGTACAAATGAAGCTGTAAATAATGTGCACTGAATGAAAGTAAATAGAACATTTTAAGGGGGTTTACTTGGATGTCAGGTCCCACTAAAACATCACTCTGCTGTTCCTCAAAAGCTCTTGACACAACTGCTTGGTGGCTCCTTAACATGTTATTATTCAGATTCAGGAGGGCTTGTCTCCCAACCACCTGAAGAAGGCCAAGCTGATGTTCTTCTATACACGCTACCCTTCCTCCAACATGCTCAAAATGTTCTTCTCCGACGTGAAGGTAGGATTTTGCCCTGTCTTTTCCTTCTTCTCCTTGTTTCTCTTCTATTTATTCTCTTTTATGAACCTCTTATCATGGTTCTCTCCTAATTCTGTTTTTCTGTTTCATGCTGTCATAGTGAAGTCTCTCATCTGTCTTTTTTCATCTGACTTTACTGATTTATTTGTTTCCTGCTCTAGAGATTGTAAGTCAATTTAGTCTGTGACTGATAAGCTAAAGCTACATTATTATTTATTGGAAACACTCAGGAGTTTGCTCAAGTTGCTCTTGGATTAAAAAAACAAACAAAAAACAGATCGATGGGAATTCAATGGCATCTCTAGAATCACATCTCAAAAATCACATCCGTGTATTTTTCAGTGACAGATGGGGCAGATGAGCTGTTGTAAACAGGTATGCGTCTTTGCGTGTAGCGTTTGGTTTTTAGATTTGGTTACAGTTACATGTGTGTGTGCCTGTATGTGTGTGTGAGACCCTATAGCACAGATGGGTGATCCAGTCTGTCACGTCTTTGTAGCATAATTAGAGTTTCTGGCCTTAATCTGCATGGGTTTGGAGAGGGGGGTGTTAACGCCCACTTTCTCTCTCAAACACATACTGCACCCCCCCCAGCACCCACACACACCCTGACCTCAACCTCCGTCCTTTCACTCAAACACCCACACATACACTTTCACTCTCACTAACATAAAATGAGACATTAACTTTTCTTTCAACACAGAAACAATAAAATAATAATAATAATAATAATCACGGCATTAGCGCTCATTTGACAGGTGACAGGATGCATAGATGGAAAGAAAGATAAAAAGAATAGAAAAAGGAAAGAAAGTATATAAAATCAGTAAGAAAAATGAACAGAGTGAGTGTCAAGGCAATAAAAATGAGTTTGTGCAAGCGTTGGGAGGGGGTTTGAGAAAATGACAGAGGGAGTGAGGGGAGGGGAGGACAAACAAATGAAAGGGATGACAGCAGAACAACAGCTTTAAAACAAAGGCGCTGATTGTTTTGTGTTTACAGGCTGCTACATGTTTTGCAAAGGAGCATACGGCTCCTCTATGGATTCAGGACACTGTTTTCAAATGAGCAGCCACACACACACACACACACACACACACACACACACACACATACACACACTCCAGCTGCCCTTTGGCTCATATCTGTGGTGACCACTTCCTCGTGGCGGTGCCACATCCTCAATGGCTGCCATGGCAACAAGGGTCGCTGGGACACCGGGTTGCTAGGCAAACACGAGGTTGCTAGGCCTACCTGCCCCGAGTACGTGTGAGTCTGATTGGTCGTTAAGTGGGAGTCCATTAAGTGATAAAAATGGGTATCATGGTATCCAGTTATACCTCTGTTTAGTGTTACTCAGACAGTAAAGGTGGAAAATGCTGCATTTTTCGACCAATTATCAAAACTCATGCTTTAAAACTTTTTCATCTCTCCAAAAAGTCCAATTATGTTATTGTAATTTAAGTGAGAATGTTGGGAATATTTTATTCAGGCTAACAAATGACACTAAAAATCCTAAAAATGTTAAATGAAGTAATGAAATAAAACTAAAATAAGTGAAATCTGAAATTAACTTTAAATGTACACCATAAAAATGATTTTTATGATTGATTTTAAACACTGCATCTTCTTCAAGCTAAATATGAAAAAGCTAACAGGTTGTGCAGTGACATATTCACAGCAAGCTTTAAACTGCATTTGACTTTTTGTCACAGCTGCTCCAAGGTGGTTGTAGATATGCTGCCAGTCAAATGTGCTAGCTTTAGTTTTTCTGAAAATCTCTGGGCAGGAGAGAGCGTAATTAAACAGATACCTAAGAACTTGTGAATATCAAGATTATTAGTGATGAGATACACCAGCTAATGAGCTATAACAAGATTTACCAGTCACCAGTCTCACTTCATTTTAACCTTCAGATTTGGGAAAAGAAAACAGTTTAAAACTGTTATGTGCCGACATTGATCATTTTCCATAATCGGCTTACTTATCATGTCTAAGTCATACTTTCAATTATCTGAGTAAATATGCTTAACATTTATTTGGCCATATAAACTGTGGCTTTGGGGTTTAATTTGGAAAATGAATAAATTAGGACTAATGAGTTAATGCATAGGTTCAGTGTATGAGTTTATCTTTTGAGATTGATATTAGCTTTTAAAACTAATCTAGTCCCCAATCTGTGGGTTTACCTCCAAACTGATATTCAATTAATTAATCTCTTCATCTAAACAAACATGGATTTAGATTAAGAGATATTCACAGTGCTTTGGCATGCCACTTTGCTCAGCAGATGGACAGTATTACAGGCTCGATCTGTAACGAAGTCAGAACCAAACAGTGGGATTTATCAGAATCTATTTTTCTAGTGGAATGTATTGTCCAAGCTTTAAGGACTGACAGCATGCTTTGTGACAGCTAAACATGAGGTTTTTATTTTATAGACAAAGAAAACCAGATGTTAATTGTGGTTAATTTGTTTTGTACATGTTTTCCTCTAGTCACATTTACAGTGACAATGCCTCTTTAATGTTATAATCCTTAAGATCTCAGTCCTGGGTGATGGCAACAACCAGGTTTGTATTAGCAGTGACTTATTATTACTTACTCTGATGTGGAGTTATGAGAGCGAACAGGAAAGAGTGAGGCTGATATCAATTAGATACAATTAAAAACAGTACTGCCAAATTACATACATGAATAATTTCCTGTGAATCCCTCGTGTGTAAGTAGACAGTCTGAATCCAGCATCCACCGCTAACAATGAAAACTACCAAATAGAGAGGTAATTGCTTAATTTATATACAAACAGAATCAAAAATAGGATGTGATTCCATGATAGCATTAAGGATTATAATATTAAGGATAAGACTGACAAAAATATTCTATATATTTGTTACAGTATACAAATCCTGTGACAAGACCAAAACTAGGGCTGCACAATTTAGAGAAAAAGTCATGTTGCAATTATTGTGGACAATATTGCAATTTGATTAAAATGGAACAAATGGTGCTATGAGTCTACTTGCTTAATTATCAAGGAAAATGCACAAAATACTGACGTTTTGAAATGTGTATTTTACCACTAGTTGAATATTAAATCCAATTACAGCTGTTTCATTTGTGCAAGAAGGAAAGGCTCTACATTGATCTCTATTTTGTTAATGTTAAGTACTAACTCTTCAATATAATATTGTTCAACATTTGAAAGTTTTCTGTAGTATGTGAAACTTTTTTGATGTCCAGCCCCAGGCTGTTAATTGGTCGACGAGACTTTATGAAAAGTTGAACATGTTGAACAAAAGGCCCAAACCCAAACCTTCCTTTTCTTCTCCCTTTTCTTCTGTCTTACCGCTTCAGCTGCCGAAGACACATCTCTGTCTCTGTCACAGAGTGGCCGGCCCACCGGTATTTCTCCCGGTATTCCGGTGTCCAGTCCGACTATGTTTTACGAGGGGGCGGGGAGGGGGGGTTACGGTAGGTTGTTGTCTTTAACGTTACTCACACACAGCTCATAAATTATTTGTCTGGTTCGCACGTATTTGTTTTTAGGGGCACGTGTGAGAGCCCGGTGTGGGCGTGGATAGTGAGCAGACTGCATAGCAAACAAAGACTCGTTTCACACAAACTTTTTATTCCCTTTTTTGTATTTATGTAATCGCACATGATGACATCAGGATTGCAATTGCGATTAGATTAATCGTGCAGTCCTAACCTCTTAAAACTTTATACTTTTCCTAGCGTATATGTGGCATTCTGCCCAAAGCCAAGTTCAAGAGACTGGGTTACAAAATGGGTCACAAATGTCAAGTTGTTTTTTAAGTCTAACTAGTGTCCTAAAACAGCTGGACACTGTAGTTTTCAACAAATGTTACTTAAACAGAAGTAAATGGTGCATTTTTGGTGGGACTATTTTCAGATGTGGATTAATATACATTCAGTGCTTTAGTGAGTATTAACAGCTCAAAATAAACTACAGTGTTTGTTTATGGTAATGAAGGAGCCTGTCACCCAGTGCAAGGTGTTTTGACAACTATGGAGGTCTAAGAAACAGATGAATAAGATATATCAGCCTTTGGATACACAGACAATAGAGGAGCAAGTCATTGTTGGCTATTCGTGGGATTTGTTGACAATAAGAAGAATACATTAACAGTCTTATCTATTAAGAAAATTATGGTTTCTTTATGCAAATAATGATTTATAATCAAATGTTTTAATTGACTCGTAATCCCACTTAATCCAGTATATATATATATATATATATATATATATATCCGTGGGAGGAACTCTGCAGATATTATTTCGCTTAATAAAGAAATGATTCATGGATAATCCTATTTGTAATGAGCCAGGTTGTTCTTTTCAAGGCTTCAGTATGTGTGTATGTGCGTGTGTGTGTGGAGGATGGAGTAAGAGAAAGCACCATGTTGCTGTCTGTCTATGTATTTGTGTGTCCTGTTTCATTGTCCCATTGCATTCATTACCCCCCATCATTACCATATATCCTAAATCCGGGTCAATGTATCTTTCTCTCACCCTCTCTCTCACTCCTACTCCTCCCTCCTCCTTCCCAGGGAACAATAAGTAGCATGTGTTAGGAGGATCAGGCAGATTCACTGTAAGGGAATTAGGGCCCAGAATGGCTTCCCCTAATTGGACTTGAATGGACTTTGACTATGAGAAACTGGATCTTATAGATGAGCTTCTTATGCACAATGGTCGCCTCGCTCAGTGTGGGAAGTGGGTTGAGCTGACAACTGTTTTAGGCACAGATGAACAAGCACGCACATAAACACACACGGGATCTTAATTGCGTAGTGGAAGCTCTTGCCTTCTGACCAGACAGTCGTGTGTGTTAGCATGCGGCGCAGAGGTTGCTGTCGTCTCGTCTTGAGAGAGTCAGTGAGAGTAATTAAGACCTCGTTAAGACTGGAGGAGTTAGGATTAATTAGACGCTTGCTGGCTCAGGGAGCTCCTTCTGACTCACACACACTCACTCACAAGTTCCCTGGCAGCTGAGGGTTTTTACATATGCTCTAACACACACACACACACACACACACACACAGACACACTGAACACGAAGCAGCAATACGTTTATCAGCGAGAGCCCTGAAGACGCTTGCCTTGAGAGGCTAAAATGACATCCCGATGCCGCCTTCTCAGCAGGAATCAATTAGCGCCCAACCCGCCTCTCGCTCGTCTTGTCAATTAGAGCTACACAGCCAATTTGGCAGCGTCAGGACATGAACCAGCAACAGCTTGTCTATTGATACCGATATAACTGAACTTCAGTGATTACAGTGTTTAAATATTAATACCTGTCCCAAGTTTTACAATGTCTTTAATGAACTGTGAAGACTGTGGAGGCAGAGATCTGTAGCATGAGTGTAGCCTTATTCTTGTTATTTAGGATGTATTTAAATGAAAAATGCTAAAACAAAGATTTCTGAATTGCTCACAATTTATATAAATAAACAAAATAAATAGTTTAGCTAAATAGGAAGGACAGTCAAAGTCAAATCATGGCTATTCACACCATGTGGAGGGAAGGGTTAGACTAAGGCCAGTGGGTCCAAAAAGGCCAAATTTAAGGTAAATTTAGTTATAATCCTTAACATTTAGCACAACGTAATACAATGCCATCGAAGGGAATTCTGAAATCTGAGCTCAAATCTGAAAACGATCGATTGAAAACCCAATATAACCAAGCGTCAGTGGCCTATAGCTAGTTTCTATGCCAAACGTTTGGCACTGCTTTGTCAACAATTCTGGAAGACTTTTTCCAGTAGCAATATACAAAACCAAAGACTTAGAGTTCTGCGTGACTATAAATTAGAGGTTTTGTTATTATGCCTGAAGTTGCCTCATAAATGCCACACACACAAACAACTTTCCTGCAGTCTATACTGTCTAGTAAAGCAGAAAAGCCCCAAAACATGATTTGAAAAAGTTACTACAACAGCTATTCTTCCAGGTTCCACAGGAAACCTTCATGGTACAACTCGTAGAATTATGTCGATTGTGCACATTCACACTGTCCTCTATAAAATGTGCCGAGCAACGACGAATCTGGTTGAAGTGGGCAGATTCTTAAAGGATGCGTGTGTTTGCCCTCCCAACATGGCCTGGGGGGTGGGGGGACTGACAACAACCGCCATCAAGGGAAGGAGAGAGGGAGTGAGGCACCCTGACACTTTCTGTGACATTCTCTCTTTCCCCCTTTTCGTTGTAAACAGAAAATGGCATTCCTCAAGCTCAGCATTTTGCCCCCCCCCCCTTTCTGTCTTTTGTCTCTCTTGTTTTTTTTGGTTTGCGCTGATTGTGATGAGCTGGGTGTCGCAGCAGTGGTTGGGTGGGAGGGCAGCCGGTGGGATGACTGGGTGTATGCATGTGTGTTTGTGTCTTATCTACATGTGAAGTCATTCTTTTGAAGGAAAATTACCAGGTTGAGAAAACACACTTGACAGTTACCGATTTTGGCTATACACCTGCACTCAAACAGTGATATTCTGCATTGCATTAATTTCATGGGGAGGAAAGAGAGACTTTGACACGTATTTTGTTGTAAACCATAGATGGAAAAAAGAACTTCTGTGCACTTCTGGTGTTATACCTTCTAAGGAAAACTGTATCTGTCTGTCATCAGCAGTCTGATATAGACAATTTTGACATTAGTGCTGTTAATGTATTTAAAATATTTTTAGTTTTGAAACCCTCCTTGCAGTTTGAGTCTCTGCACATACAGTAGTATAGAATCACATCAATACATAAGACCTAAACACATGAGACCAGGTTGTACAGTAATGCTGACTGCAGTTGTTTATCTGGCCGGAGCATTCAGTGTGGCATAGGCCGCCATCAAAAAAAGCCAAAGCATGTAAAACTGCTCACAGGACAAGGGGACTTTTAAAACATTTAACAAAACATTTAATTGAAATGTCCCAGATCCCAGAAAAGCTCATTTTATACACATGACATTGTCTTAAAAAAACTAATAAAGTGGTTAACTGTTTGGTTTTATAAATACCAAAGTAGTGGAAAATGTCCACCCAAGTGTTGTTTTTTGACCGACTTGCTCTCTAAAACCCAAAGACTTGTTTTTCATAAATTTATAAAACTAAGAAAACCAGCAAATATTCACAACCGAGAAGCTGGAGCCACTGAATTTTTTATATTTTTTGTCAGCTATCGAATCCGTACCTTTGGTAAATCATCTCTATGTATGTATAAAGTTGTATAATTTATAATCCTTTACTTGTACAAGGGCAAATGTTGCAGAGCTTGTGTATTTGTGTCAGTGTATTATTTTTTGTACATTTGTGTGTCAGAGGTTGTCACTGACACAATCGTCTTTTTGTGATTTTAGAAGGACAGATGACATCGCCTTGTGTGTGTTTGTTTATGCATTAATTGCCGAGTTATTACGTTCATTCCATAACTCTTTTGTGGGTCAACCCCCCACCCAACACACACTGCTTTGTAAACCCACCTCCCTTTCCTTCTGCTGCAGACACACACACACACACACACACACACACACACACACACACACACACACCCTCCCAATTATGCTCCATTATGTCACCCCCTCTGACAGCTCCTGAAAAAATATCTCTTTCCCTCTGTCATCGTCTGCTCATCTCTCTCACTGCATTCGCTTTTCCATGCTACCTCCCTCCATTCATCTCTCTCTCTCTCTCTCTCTCTCATCCCTTGTTCCTGTGAGACAATGTCTTGTAACAATACCGAGCTTAATCTCCGTATCAAAGCCGTTTTTCCCCTTCACTGAACACACACAAACACACACATACACTTTCACTGTGCTTTTTTTTCTGTCCGTATTTTTGTTTTTTATGGAAAAAATTATATTAAGTGCTAATGAAAAATGTTATCTTCTGTTGCCTCTGTCATTTCCTCCTTCATCCCTCCTCTACATCTCATTAATACATCACTTACGAGGTGACAGATACATGGAATTTGGCTATTCAAAAGTCGCAACTACAAAAAAATCAAACAACATTTTATCAGTATGCGTATCCTGCATTAAGTACCATTGTTTTTGTACTTGTGGTGTGATCCAACATGTTTCACATCACTTATAGTTGGGATATGCAAACAAGTGAAAATATTGCATTATGCTGAATTTTTTAACATGACTTTTGGTAGACATTTTTACAGTGTACTGTTAACTTAAGGCCTGCAGGACAGGAACAGTGTTTGAAGAGAGATGTTTAATGTTAGTTCAGCTCAGTCTGAAAGCCCATGATGGCATAATAATAGGATAATATTTGGGTCATTCTTGTTTGATTAGGAAGGTTTCTTTTTTTTCTCCAATGAGGACCCCCAGGTGTAGACAGTGTTTTAGTGGCTAATGAGGTAGATAAAATAAATTGAAATATCTTAGATAATTTAACTGTGTGTGTGTGTGTGTGTGTGTGTGTGTGTGTGTGTGTGTGTGTGTGTGTCAGTTAAAGTTAAATGCATTTACACACTTGCATTGTGTACAAACAGTGACACACACAAGAAAACACAAGTAAATTACAACTATTTCCCCCTGTTTAGATTGCCTATTACATTTTTGAATGATAATCTCATTATGTTGGAAATAACTGAAACTTACTGATTCACCCAAGTAGTAAGCAAACTTTATTGAGTGAGATTATGCTGCTGTAAACAAGCATTTGACATTGAAGAAATAACCTTAAAAAGATATAGTAAAAGCAGAGATCTTACTTTTAGAGAAAGGACTCCAGGTTTGGCTGCCAATTTCCTCTCTGTGACCTGTGTTTAAAGCTGCTTGTTTGATTCATTTGAAAGTATACAAAGCACTTTGTAACTTGTTTTTGGAAAGTGCTCTACAAATAAAAATTATTATTATTATTATTATTATTACAAAGATCTTGTGTAAAAACATTCCCTCTCAAATCTTCTTTTTATCCATACATTTCAGAGGTGGTAAGGTTTTCTTTAAAGAAACCAGAAAATGTACAAGTAATGACTTGCTGGCCAGCTGTAACTGCTTGAAATGTCCATCCTGATAAAAAAAAATGTTTATGCCATAATCCTAAGTAAGCACGGAGGCCCAGTTCAAGTCAAATTTGATCACATGCCACCATGCAAATAAGTACCAAAGCAAACATAAGGCTGTGCGATTATAAATCCACAGCACCATGAAACAGGAAGCAACATTCAGCTTTAAATCTACTCAATCTCACCATGAAATTAAAATCATTTAGAAACTTTTAAGATGTTTAAAATCTGTTGCAGTCCTTTAAAGTTCCGAAACAGCTATAAACTATCTTGTGGATAACAGGCCAAATATATATAATGTGATATGCTGAATATCAATGTAGTTCAACAATAAATATCAGGGGGAAAAAACAGGAACCTCTTTCAAGTCGTATTATTCTAAACTGATGTAAAATAACCCTATTGTATTCCATAGTGACCTCAATGCACACAAGTGCATTCACTTTTCCCTACTGGGAGAAATGTTGTCTTTTGCTATTGCTATCAAGATCTGTAATTCTTTCTCTGCCGCACACATTAAATTTATCAAGTTTACAATTGCCAGGGCTGTCGAATGTAAAATTTACAAAATCACATCTAGCCATCAAATAAATAAAATAAAAGATTATGAGGAATGTATTCATCTATGAAACGTAATTAAATGTTCTTTTCCATCTCTGGCTTCTGCTATAGTTCAATCGATGCATAACCTCCCAGCTGATCAAGTGGTTCAGCAACTTCAGGGAGTTCTACTACATCCAGATGGAGAAGTTCGCCCGGCAGTCCATCAACGAGGGTGTGACCGCCGCAGAGGAGCTGGTGGTCGGCCGCGATGCCGAGCTCTTCAGGGCGCTCAACATGCACTACAACAAGGCCAACGACTTTGAGGTAAGATGAGCTGGTGGGGGGCTGTCCGGTGTGTGTAAGCGATGTTAGTATAAAGGAAGATAAAGATCAGTGTGGAGTGTGTGTGCCATTGTTAATAAGACTGAGAGCTTTTTCATTTTAAAGTTGTTCTACTATTACTACTATTTTTGGAGTAATGCAGTCATTGTGTCAGAAACCAACCCTAGCTATGAGAAGCTTTATGTTTTTATTTTATGATTATATGGTTCCATAAATTATCCAAACCATTTTAAAACATTTTTGGATTATGAAAAAATAGTCTTCCTGTTATATATGTATTTCCTTTATCTAGTCCACATTATTTTAAACATTTAAACTCCCATCATTAAAAAACTGTTTCTGAGTTCACTTTTAAAATTGAATTAAAACTGGATTCAGCACAACTCACACACACTCACACAAATGTCCTCTACCAAGTCAGCTGTTCAGAGCGCAACAGTCACCTCACGATTCTGCTGAAGTGTGGATGTCGCAGAATGTGTGTGTGTGTGTGTGTGTGTGTCTATGTGTTTGTGTGTGCGTGTTCGATGAGGCGAAAGAGGACTCCGCTCGAGGCGCGAGTGTCCTTGTCAAAGCGATTTGCAGAAGTCACATTCTCTCCCTCACTTTTTCTCTCCCAATATTGGTCTAAAGGGACCTGAGGGCCCTTAAACTATTCAATGTAACATCAGCAGCATTTAGATGTCCATTAGCACACACCTCACTGCTGACACACACACACTTCTTGTTTTGGCTTCGGGAGAGAAGTGTTGATGCTCAGTTGGAGCTTAAATGCATAAAGACACACAGACTTTAAGGTATACTAGGATAGTTTTGGAGGAATGAAGAGCAAATGCTTTGCATGCTTTGCATAACAAGATTCAGGTAGCCTTTCACAGGTGTGTATGTAAAGAACCTGTACAGGAAACAGACACACACATGCAAATAATTGGTGTGTGTGTGTTTATTTTAGCTGGTCTTCAGTAGAGTTATTTTGAGGACTGTAAGGTAAGGTTCATATTGGGAACCCTGACAGTGGCTGTGCATATTTTAGCTTTTCAATCACATTTCAAATATACTTGAAATTGGCATACTTTTAAAAATGTATTTCCCTGCATCCATTAGTTTCAGTTGTTTTCAGTGCAATATGAAAATCAACTTGAAGACACTGGAAACCAGAAACTGAGATAGGCAAATCATTCCAGTGAACATTAAGTTGCCTGTATTTTCTGTCATAGTTTGAATATTGTAGTAGTGCATGTGCGAGCAGTTACTGCTCTTCCTTGCGTTCCTTGTGTGCGTTTAATGAATAAGGTAACTGATTTTCCAAAAACACCATGTGAATGCAATGCTTTCATTGCTTTCAATGCTTCATTTAATCTACCTATTGCAGTTAATCTTTTAAATCAATAATACATTCAATTTCAGAAAATAGTGACTAGTACAACCTCCTAAAGCCCAAGCTAATGTCTTCAAATAGATTGTTCTGTCCAAACCTCAAAGATTATCATCTTACTATGACATAAGATGAAGAAAGGCAACAAGTCCTCCCAATTCGGAAGCAGTAACAAGGCAATATTTGGTATTTTCCCTTGATTTTGTGATTTATTTTTTGTCATTTAACCAATGAATTCAAGTAGTGGTCTACAAAGAAGACCACTGATTTAGAGCTGTACCAGTTCTAAAACACCTCATCATTAAAAAATACATTTTCAAAAATGTTCTTATATGATTTTTTTTGATGAGACACATTTGATAGGATCCATACATGTATGAGGCATATTGGCACACAGACCCAAGAGCCACAGCAACAAAATGGGACCCTACCAGGACCCTGAGTCATGAAAACTTTGTGTCCTGAGATTAATGGAAACTGGCTGCCTTAAAAAGGTAGAAAAAGAAAACAAAAAACGTATGATAATGTGTTGAAAACAGTCAGGATTTGTAGTTAAAAGGCTTATTGGCTGCCCTATATGTTAATCAGTAGAACGTACTGAAAAGGACATCAGTAAAACAACATATGCGTCCTTTATGCAATAAAGCACTGGTGTGTTTGCAAAGGTAGGTATATAGTTTCTTCCTGTACTTTGTGCCCTGTCCTGCCTGCCTCCTTCTCTCCCTTCACCTCCCTCCTTCCATCCCTTCGTTCGTCCGCCCTGAGGGAACATAACTGGCTAGGGACTCTCTCTCTCTCTCTCTCTCTGTCAAACTCAGAGGCATGAAACTGGAACCACGGCCGATTCAGCAAGTCTCTCGACATACACACACACATACAGAAGTCTTCTCCTTTTGCCAAATTTAGCATCATCAGAGTTCCACCTTGGTTTGTCCCATATCACACCCACCTCCCCTCTTTTCCTCCTCTTTTTGCTCCCTCTCCTTCCTCCCACCCTTCATGCTGAATCTGTCCTCTGTCAATATGTTCTCTTCGTCACCACCTCTCCTTATCCTCTTCTCTTATCCTTCTTTCATTTAGCTTTGTCCTGGCCTCCCTCTATTTCCCCTGATGTATTTTCCTTCTGTCCTATTGTCCTTCTCTCACCCAGTCCTCAATGCTTTTCATCCCCTCCTTTCCTTTTCTCCTTCATCCCACCCTTAACTCCTCCTGACTCCCGTCTCCTGTCCTCTCCCCTCTCTTTCGTCTCACATCTTCTCATCTTCATGCCCCAACCTTTATTATTTCTTCCAAAAAGAGCTGCTCTTTGTCAAATCTCAGGCTCAAAGGAGGGCTTACAAGGTTAAATCATTTGCATTTGTTATGTTTTTCCTGGTTAAAAAATAACTTAATCTTAGTCAAAACTGTGCTCTTAGGTTTGATGGGTCGAAAAAAGCTTGTGTCATTAGTAAACGTACATGGCCGGCATTTTAAATAGTCATTGTAGATTATTGCTGTGGAAAGGTGAACGTAATTTGCCGGGACTGTGTGTGTGTGTGTGTGTGTGTGTGTGCATGTTGTCTTCCAAAGTTGGCGTAAACAGACCCCAGTAATTATAGCAGCTTCATTAATTACCTCCTCCTCCCCTCTCCAGCCACATTCTTTCAACTCTTCTTTCTTGTTTACCTCTCTCTCTCTCTCTCTCTCTCTCTCTCTCCATCCTCACCATCTCCTCTCTCCTTCCCCTCCCCTCCCCAGTCTCTGAAACTATTTTGTCCTAATTGCAGCTCTGCCCACTAACTAATGAGGAAGGCAAAGAAAGGAAGAAGGCTGGAGAAAGGGAAAGGAAACGGGGAATAGTCTCATCTTCAAAAAAAGAGAGAAAACAAAAAGAGACAGAGAGAGAATTTCTTTGCCAGGACACTCAGGGATAGGTGTCAGCTTCTACCTTCTGCCAAGAGGAAGAGAAACGTTTCCTCTGTTTCTTTTCTTTTTTTTTTTTATATTGCGAACAGATTGACGAGTCATTGGTTAGGGCTGCCAGCAGCATTGGGCATGGCACTCTTAACTTGTGGGTTTGTGTGTGCTAAAGTTTTGGTGTGATATTTGAAGTACACCTATGCTTTGGTAACTTAGGCATGCCAGAGCGCGCGCGCGCACACACACACACACACATAGACTAAGTGTGAATGTAAAGTGGAAGAATAGAGTTGTAGTATTTTGGTGTGGATGTGTGTGTCGGCTGAAGAGGGACAACAACAGTTTTTTTTATGAAGCCTTCTGGAGGACGTTCTCATCTTTCCAGTTCAAGGATCCTCGCTGGCTTTGTCAGCAGCAAACCACGGCACAGCTGTTTCACACACATACACAGATACTCATTTGTGTTCGTCTGAAAGAGCAGAGATACCCCCCCTTGAGGGGTGGGTGCGGTTGCTACCAAAATCTGCCCTTTGACTTTGAATGACACACACACACACACACACACACACACACACACACACACACACACACACACACACACACACACTCCCCTGCAGGCCACAGAGTGGTCACACACTCACATTTCAGGCTTATCTGGTTTCATAAGCTGTGCACTTCATGAAAGGCTAAACTTCTCATGTCTTTCTCCGCCGTTTGGATTCTTTGTCATCCTTTGTCTCTCCTTATTCATCTATTCACTCATCTTTTCCGCTTCCTCTTCTACTGAAAAAAGGGGCCAACGTCGACTCTTAGGAATCAATTCTCAAAGTGGGCTTTCTATCAGGTTCTCTGTTCTCATAGAAATGCTCTGCAGCTTTAAAAAAAATCCTTGGTGCTGAAGTTTTGGTTTATTTTTTGAATAATTCATCCTTTTGTTATCAATTAACCAACACACACCAAAATATTATAGACTTGTCTCTCAATCCATTACCCTAAAGTTCTTATGTTTTTTTCCTTGTCTCCTCCGTCTTTCGGTTGTCCTCATCCATTTTTGTCTTCTATTTGTAACCTACCCAGAAGGCGCGCACATGCACGCGTGTGCGAACACACACACACATTTCAAAGACTGCACCTGTCCTGCTTTCTTTTTCTCTCCTCCCTCTTTCTCCAACTCTGATCTCTACTTCAGACTGAGTGTAGAGTTTTGGGCAATTACTACATCTTGACTCCATCTTTTAATATCTGTAATTTGACTAGTTTCTTGCCAAGTATTTAAAGTTCCCCCCTAAAATATATTGAAAGACGGTACCAAAGCATCAATAAAGACTATCATGGGACACCAAAACACTCGCTTCAAGATTAAAAATACAAAAGTGTCTCAAGGGAATCATTTCAGATTTGAGGGATTCCCAGAAACAACTAGGGTTGAACTAATAGCTTCTACAATAATTATGCAGTAAAAAAAGCTCCACAACTATTGGACCAGAGTTAGAAGAAACCTTGTCTTCTACAAAATATGTTTATTTGCTATTGATTTGCCTTGATAAATACATTTCTGAGTAGGTCAGGGTGGGTGGACAGACAAACAAAACTAAAGACTTTGACACTGGAGAGAGGGATTTGCGTCATGCAATATATTGTAAGCTGTAGCTGAGGCTACTGAAACAAAGGTCAGGGTTTAGCTGAAATTTTAAAAAGTCAAAACATC